ACACTCTATTAGTACTCTCCTACCTAGATCAACTTACTACTCCTTTATTTCAATGATTCTAAGAAGTACATTTCTCCTATTTAGCATCTTTTTGAAAAATCAGAATTTATCTTATAATCATTTCTGTGTCACAGTTTAAACAGCAGTATTTTTCTCCCTCTGAGGTATATAAAATAATGGTGTATCTTATAATCCATCATATCTTAGGTTTGGTGAAATACAGTAACTGGTATTTAAGTTTTTAGTTTTAGGGACGCCTGGGTGGCTTAGCGGGTCAGGTGTGTCTGCCTTTGGCTCAGGTCATGATCCCAGGGTCCTGGGATCGAGTCAGCATCGGACTCCTTGCTCAGCAGAGAGCCTGCTTCTCCCTCTGCCTAACACTCCCCCCCCTGCTTTGCTCTCTTTCTTTCCCTGACAAATAAACAAACTTTAAACTAAATAAATAAAATAAGTTTTTAGTTTTAGTTATTATGGCTATTTTGGGGAGATGAAAATTTCTTTGTACGATATTCCCCTGTTATCGTTTTAAAAACTCAGGATTCCTCCCACTCCTTCCCACCAAAAAGGAAAAAAAAAATCCACAGGGGCGCCTGAGTGGCTCAGTTGGTTAAGCATCTGCCTTCAGGTCAGGTCATCCCAGAGTCCTGGGATAGAGTCCCACATTGGGCTCTCTGCCCAGAGAGGAGCCTCCTTCTCCCTCTCCCTGCCGCTCTGCCTACTTGTGCTCTCCCTCTATCAAATAAATAAATAAAATCTTTAAAAAAAAAAAAAATCCAACCCTCTACTAAAAAAAAAAGAAAGAAAGAAAGAAAGAAAGATCCATAAAATTTGTCTCCTTATCATTCTAGTGAATGGCATAGCACCACTCCAGAACTCAGGAGCCATCTTTGACACCTCTCACTCCATACCTCCTCTCCTTCCCCGCAAAGATGTAACCCATCACCAAAACCACAAAATTTAGCTCCCAAAGATCTGTTAAATCTGTCCCTTTACATTCTACTTCTACCACCACCACTGTATTCCAAGCTCCATCATCTTTCACCTGGGCAGCTCCCAACGGTCCCCCTAAATGGTTTCCCCATATCTATTCTTTGTCCCCTCTAATGTCTTTTCCACAGTGAGGCTAACTGATCTTTCCTTATAGTCTGCCAGACCTTCCAGGATCTGTGCCACCTTCTCTTTGGTCTTTGAGGTCAGTAGCCCTGGCCTTCTTAAGCAATTATGTTCTCTTTACTACAAGGCCACTGACCATGTTATTCCCATAGCTTGAAAGCTCTCTAGCAATTAAATCTCATCCTTTAAATTTCAGTTCAAAGTTGATTTCCTCATGGAAACCCTCCCTAATCTCCTGACTAGGTCTCTCTCATACCATGTAACCTTTCCTTTTTAGCACTTAACACAACTTTAATTTTATATGTTGTCCATGGATTAATGCCTGCCTTTCACTCTTGCCTATGATGTCTATGAGAAAATTGAATTGAATTCCAAGCACCAAAGTGCCTGCAAAGAGTAGGGCTCAGATATTTGAATATGCAAATATAAGTCTACAGTAACTTACATGATCTTTAGGACTCACAATTTCTCAGATTTCTTCAATTCAGACTTTTACTAATCTCAGTAAGTATCAACATCCAAATAAGCCTTAGGTCTTTATTTTCTTGCCTCCATTATCATGAAAGCAATGGCTGAGTTTGTATAAATTTAAATAAAAATCTGTTCTTGGAGCAGTTGTTTCATTTACCTCTTAAAAATACTTTTAGAAGTTGGTTGCCCTAAAATTATAGCAGTGGATTCTTAAATTAACAAAAATTGGAAAATTCTGTATTCTGATTATGTTTTGAAATCTTAACTTTAATCTACTATTCCTAGTGAATCAATTGTTAAATATCCAAATAAGGATTAACTGTAAAGAGCTGTAGCCAGTAAGCTCCTTATTTTTATTTTTAATTATTTTATTATTTTTTATTTTTGCCAGTAAGCTCTTTAAACTACAACTGATTAAATGCTGTAGGTGTGACTACATGTTAAATCTCATATATGGGGAAAATAAAACATGAATACAAACATCATGCCAAACAGTATCTGTCAGTACACATTTACACATAAAATGCATTTATTCATAAAAATCACAAGGAAGGAAAATGTTATAAGGAAACTTTATTTTAAGCTCCGATTAGAAAACTTTTTTTTTTTTTATGTTCAATGTTTAAACATCCAAATAAGCAGGATAAGTTTTTCCCCCAAATATGAAATCAGTGTCACCAAATTCATCTAATTCTATTGCGCCATCAATTGACATAAACCAAAGACTTAGGGAGGCGCCTGGGTGGCTCAGTCGGTTAACTGCCTGCCTTCGGCTCAGGCCCTGATCCCAGGGTCCTGGGATCGAGCCCCGCATCGGGCTCCCTGCTTGGCCGGGAGCCTGATTCTCCCTCTCCCTCTGCCACTCCCCCTGCTTGTGACCTCTCTGTGTCAAAGAAATAAATAAAATCTTAAAAAAAAACAAAAACAAAGACTTAGGTGTATAATGCGGTACTGTGCACCTCTGGAAGCTTCATGGGGAACCATATCTATATTGTTCACCATGGTATCTTTAGTCCCTGGCACAAGCAGGTACTGAATGAATATTTACTGAAAAGATACATCAATATAGAAAAGGAAGTTTGTTTTAAGTTGTTTTGCACTCTCTCTCCCTTTAATTCCATCTGTGTGTTGTGCTCCTGTCTTGTTCTATTAGCAATTATAAAAGTGGTACAATTAATAGATGATATATTAGGCTACAGTTAAAGAGCACTCATAAAATAATAAAGGACAAAAGTGATTGAAAAGAAGGTAAAAATAGTTCTCTCCTTTGTTCACAGTGGTAATTAATGAAAACCTGCATTTTATAGCACTCAGATTTCAAATAGAATTAAAAGCATTTTCGCGTATTTATCCTCAATTGTTTTAGCTTCCTCTTCTTTCCCAAACTCGCAAATGAATGTCCAAGAGATTCTACCAAAACCAGAAACCCACTATCCAATTTACTATATACAGATTAATCTCTGGGGGAAAAAGTAACAAACAACAAGCTAAATTTACTTGTATATGGAGGGCATACTAATAAAATTATTTCCCATCTACAATTAAAAAACAAAACAAAACTGAATTAACTTTTGTATGTACTATGCTCCAGGTACTACAAAAGAAAACTCTCATTAGACTTTTGGGACAAGTTTGTACTTAAGAAGGGAAAAAAAAAGAAGAAAAGGAAAAATGAAAGAGAAACTTTGTATCAGAAACTCAACTGAAGTTCTTAAGACTTTTTAAAAAGTTTAATTGATTGAAGAACTAAATGCCCTTCCCTGTATGTTATGAACAACCTCAGTGGAAGGTACACTTTTTAAATTATTGTGACAAGTATTCCAATAGAAGCAATTGTAAAAGAAGAGTATTTTGGAAAAGTACAAGTGAAACCAAGAGGCGCAAAAGTAGGAAACAAAAATTACATAACTTGGAAAATGCAGTCTTTTTTTTTAACTACTTACATCCAAAGTATCACAATCCTTACCAATAACTATAGGTTGAAAAAAATGACAGTCACTTTCTAATTTAAAAAAAAAATTATGGAAAAAATAGAAATGGTCAAGTCATAACTCCCATTTACAGTATTATATGAAAATGATATTTGCTGGCCACATAGTAAACAGTACAGGGAGTTGTTCTGTTTTTTTTTTTTTAATCAGGAGGAAAGTGCAAAGTTTTTATAGTTTTCACTCCAAAAATAAAGCCTCACCATCTCACTTCCTGACTCTAAGGGTAACTTAAATTGATTTTTTAAATTTTAAATATTTGCTTACTCTTTAAAGGATAAGCAAAAAAATAGCTGAGCACATAGGAAATCTAACCTTTAGAACACTTAACACATAAAGTTTTAAAAAGCCGATTTTAACTGCATTACGGCCAACATTGATACTCCAAAGTATCAGGACTCTGAAAAATTTACTAACCTGACCATCCGATCTTGAAAAAACGTCATCTCTTGCAATACAGGATTCTAACTTCTACAATTTTGCAATTTTAGTTTGCCTTACAAATCTTCCCCCAACCCCACCTACCTTATTACTGCTCAGGTTCTAATACTTAACCAGGTAACGACAAAACCACTTACAGAATAACGTCGAAGACCGCTGGGGTTTTTGCTGGTTTAGGGTTTTTTCTTTTTTTCTGTTTCTCTGAATGCACAAGAGATTCGAAAGGTAGAAAGAAAGACATGCCAGTACAGGCAACTTCTGGGAGGCAGGTGTAATGGGGGTTGGGGGAAAAGATAAAAGAATTGTCTGGGAGTGAACCACTGTCAGAAGAGCAACGTGCTCCTTTGTAAAGACATTTTGGAAACTGCAAACTGAGAATCAGCCTCCCTGGACCTCTCCTCGCCCTCCAGCTGTCAGAATCCCCACTCCCTCACTCAACAGTCACCCCGGCAGGTCCTGGAGAAAAGGCGTCTGTCACTCGCGGGTGCCTCCAACGACCCGAATTAACCTTCGCCCAGGGGGGCAGCGAGGGCGCCTGGCATAACCCTGGGAAAGGAGACAGGAAAGGGGCACTGGGTGGCAAACGCTCCAGCTTCTCCGCCGACGCTGCGCCAACTCATGCCCACCTCCGCAGGCAGCCGGGGTGGCCATGGCGTAACGCCGCCGACCGGTCCTCCGTACTGACAAGTGTCCCCACGTCTTCGCCTTTCAGTATTTAACCTTCTCGTGCCCTCCTTCCGCACTCCCACCATTCGAGGAGGCAAAAAAAGAATTGAGCCAAGTGAACGGTTCTGCCTGGAGGAAAGAAGGGAGGCCTGGCAGTCCCGGGAAGGACCCCAGAGAAGGCAAGCTGCGGAGGGCTGCTGGCGCCGTTCTTCCGGGCTAGGGGAGGTTCAGCCCGCTAGGCCGCGGAGCCGGGGCCTCACGTAGCGACAGACGCCTCACAGAGGCGCGGCGGCGCTGCCGGAGCCCGGCACACATACTCACCAAATCTGGAACTTGAGCAGCGGCCCCGTGGCGTACTGCATCTTTAATCTTTTGCTAGGCACGCCGCCCAGGTTGGCCGAGGCATCGCTCCGGATCACCGCCGACGCCGCCACCAGGAGAACTAGCAGAAACCTCATCTTAATCAAGCCAGCCACTTTCGGCCGCCCTCAAACGGAGACTGCAGCCAGCCCAAGGCCGAGGGGGAGCTGCGAGCAGCTCCCCACCGCGCAGGCGCGCTCCGCCAAGGTCGGGCAGGGAAGCAAAAATGCGCCTGCGCGGGCCGGCGCCAACGCACGCTCTGGGAGGCAGAGCTGACCTGTTTCGCTGTCCTGACCCACCATCTTGGATGGGTGCGGAGGCTGGACTGGAGTGAGTTAAGCAGGGAGGCAACGAAGTAGCTGGTGGGATGTCAGAAGATCCTTAATCGTAGCACATGTGGGTTCATATAAAATTTCACTTAATTCAGACATTGCTCTGCCTGAAACACTTAGGAGCACCCATTTAGCAGCCTTGATGCAGGTGTGGGAGGTAAAAGAGAAAGCCCCAACCTTCTGAACGGTTAATGCTTAACTCTTTGAGTGCCATACTATGGCTTTTTCTTTGATCTTACAGTATTGCTCTCTCCTAAAAGAATTTTTTTAAAAAAGACTTTTGGAAAATTTTGATCATGTAGAGGAGTAGAATAATTACCTTACTCATTAACAATCTTTAACCATTACTGGCATTTTGACAGTCTTGATTGCCTATAGCTCTAACCTGTTCTTCCCCCCGGGATGCAACTATCAGACATCCTGTCATTTCACTTGTAGGTATTTAAACATGTATCTCTAGAAAATAACTAGTCTTTGGGGAAGAAAAGAAAAATCTGACCGCAAGACCGTTATCCCACCTTAAAAAAAAAAAACACTGTAATTCTTTAATACCACCCAGTGTTCAAATATCTTGTCTTAATAGATATTTTTCTAAAATTAGGACCAAAATAAAATCCATTGCCATTGGTTGATAGGTCTTTTAGTTTCTGTCAGAGCATTTAAAACCAAGAATATGCCAGGAATTGAGAAGTTTCATTTATCATTTATTGCGGCAAAGGGGAACACACACCACTGGGAACCAAGGGGAGTCTCAGAAAGATGATATTAGAAAGACCCTTATGGTATATGGGCTTCAACTGGATGATTTGGGGAAGAGTGTTGGGGGTAGCAATGGAAAATTTGATCATACTTTTTTAAAGTCTCAGTATTAATAAATATAGGTCATTCTGGATCATTTATCCCAGGTATTTCAATTATGAAATACATCAAATATGAGTTTGAGAAACAGTGGAATAGGAAATTCTCAGTAAGTGTGTGCCCATAGTTTCTTATATCTAATAGCTCAAATGTAGCACATGATCAAATATTTTTTCTAATTTAAGGATGCAGTGAGAGTCTGAAAACATTCTACACAGCTGTTAATTTCAGTTCACTTAGACGTTAAGTGATTAATATAAGTTCGATATATCTTAGGACAAAAGGAACTGCAAAACCAAAATCAAACTTTTTTCAGTAATCACACTGATGGTGATACTATTTTGTTTGTATTATTATTCTAAGACTGCTGCATGTAATGTGAGATAAAGCAAGTGAGTGATTATATTGGTGTCAATCACAATGGAACCTTGCAGTAGGAGAAAGGAAATAGATTTAAATTAATGTGTTAGGAAATACATCATGAGAAAATGGATGAGAATACAAGAATTTTTTCAATTAAGAAATCTACTGGAGGGGCGCCTGGGTGGTTCAGTCGTTGAGCATCTGCCTTCGGCTCAGGTCATGGTCCCAGGGTCCTGGGATCGAGCCCCACATTGGGCTCCCTGCTCCGCGGGAAGCCTGCTTCTCCCTCTCCCACTCCCCCTGCTTGTGTTCCCTCTCTCGCTGTGTCTCTCTCTGTCAAACAAATAAAATCTTTTTAAAAAATCTATTGGAATCTTGCAATAATGGATTAGGGAAGATACATCATATGATCATTTCCATAGAATTTGCTAAAATTAAACTCATTTATTATAAAAATTCTCAATGACTTAGAAGGAAATTTCCTTAACCTGATAAAAGTTATCTAACAAAAAATGCAGATATCATACTTAATTTGAGACATTAGAATCCCAAGAAATTCCCAGTTCAGTCAGAAACAGGTCAAGTATACCCACATTCACTGCTCCTGTTCAGCATTGTGCTGAATTGTACAATTGTGCACTACCTAGCAAATCTAATAAGAAAAAGAATTAGAAAATGTAAGGATTGAAAAGAAAGAAACAAAACTGCCAATGTTTGTAAACAATATAATTATATACATAGAAAACCAAAAAGAACCTACAAACTTGGTGTCCACAAAGGTTGCTAGATACAAGTTCAATTCACAAAAATCAATAGTTATCTTTCATCAATAGTTAGAAAATGTGGTTTTTAAAAAAGGGTATCTCTTAACAATATTTTCTAGAATAAATCTACATGAAATGTGCAAACCTCTACAAAGAAAAGTATAAACCTTTCTACTAATTCTTCAAGGCAAATTCACTCAGCCTTCCCTGCACTCTGGCCCTTAAGCACTGAGAAATCACCTCCCTACTTAGTCATCATATTTCATTGTAATCAGTTATTACTGTGTTGGTCACTTCTGCTATTAGCTGAGTTTGGTAAGGTCAGGGACTGTCATTTATCCTTGTAGCCCAGGTGACCATGGAGTTTTTGTAATAGTAACAATGAGAATAAAATGAAAACAAACACTATCAAGCTACTGTTTATCAAGTGTCTACTATATACAAGGTGCTGTTAAGGGCTTTACCTATAGTATTTTTATTTATATCCTTTAAGAAATGAATGGGAAGCCAGAATAGGAATGTAGGTAGGGCAGATTGTGGAAGGTCTTAAATGCCAGGCTAAGCAGTTTGAATTTTTTTCCTATAAAAAATGGAGCCATTAGAGATTGGTGGCATTATCAAAGCACTATCTTCAGAAGACGGATGTGGTAACTGTATGGGTAAAGATTGAAGTAACAAACATCTAAAGGAAAGGAGTCCTATACAACAGGGAGAAAGTTAACACAGAACAGTTATTGTAAACCACCAGGCATAGTGCAAAACTAGGGCACAAGGAATAATTAGACTTGGTGGGTTCTTGGTCTTAAAGAAGGTCATGATTGGGTAAGAAAATATTTCAAGTGAGACCAATAAGATACACAAAAGTAGGGTCACCTGGCTGGTTCAGTGAGTAGAACATGTGACTCTTGATCTCAGGATTATAAATTCAAGCCCTATGTTGGGTGTAGAGATTACTTAAAAATAAAATCTTAGGGCGCCCGGATGGTGAAGTCAATTGAGTGTCCAACTCTTGGTTTTGATTCAGGTCATGCTCTCAGTGTGGTGAGATTGAGCCCCACATTGGGCTCTGTGCTCAGTGTGGAGTCTGCTTGAGACTCTCCCTCTCCCTCTGTCCCTCCCCCCATGCTCCCTTTCTCTCTCTCTAAAATAAATAAATAAATCTTAAAAAAAAAAAAAAAGATGTATGAAAGTAGGTAAGTGGGGAATCTCATTAAACCTGGAAGGTTTCCACAGCTGGTACTCAGATTGTGTGGTATGTGGCTGGCAAACAGACAGATGTATACTTAGGTGGGGTTTGGGGGAACATGGAATTAATGCTCCTGGGATATAATGCATTTTAAGACAAGAGGCCAAAGAACAAGAGCCCAGTCAGCAACAGAGCGCTAGTCTCTGGAGGAAAGATGATTCCAACCCTAGCACAGTGACTGGCACTCAAATTCCTTCTCATCTCAACTAGATTCCAAAAATTGACAGATCTAAAGTCCAAAAATGAGGCACAACATTGGAACCCCAGAAGCGCAGCTTTCAACAACGGTCCTCCAGCAAAATGCAAAGAGAAGAGAGACATTCTCCATCTTATCCAGAGACACAAACTATGGCACCTTAAGGGCTCTATCATATTAGGGTTGTGATGTGCTAAATGTGCCCAGATATTGACAGAGACCCCAGGGTTCAGTGAAGTAGCAGAGGTGTGCCAGCAGAGGGCGTGGTGTCCAGCAGAGCAGAGGTAGCATTCATCAGAAATCCTGCGGTATGCGTCGGGGGAGGGGGGGTAATGGCGACACCTGGTGAATTCATTTACCAAACATAAGTCGGACGTCGTTTGGAGCCTCCCAGGCCATACATGAAATGGGAGGCAGGCATTAAATGGATCTTCATGTAGGACTGAGTCAGTACCTATTAGTTGGTAATAATAATAATTAGTTGGTATTAATAATAGTTGTATAAATTAATAATCCAAAATAATAAAAATAATAATGTACTCCATTTATTCGCAGAGGCTGGTATTTTGGTCCAAAATTCAAGTTCTGAATTTTCTTAATCTTCTAATTCCAAGAAATAGCCTACATCCATAATAAGGTCAGCAGAGCTGGCCTGAGGGAGTTTCTTTGAAGAATAAAATTAATACAATTAGCAGTATGAGGAAGGGTCTGAAGATTGAGGGCCTTGAAAGCCACACTGAAAAACAACAAATTCAGCAGATGGTCATAGGTACTACAGATTCTTGAGCAGAGAAGAAAAGCCGTACAGGTTTCTGAGGTCGTTTGGGGGATTTAGTGCAAGATGGACTGGAAAAAAGAAAGAATGGACAAAGTAGAGCATAGGGGTGATGATCACTGGTTTTGAAGTCTGATCCTCCTCTCTCTTGCTAGCTGTGTGGCCGTGAGTTTCCCTGCAGTTTTAATAAGGATTAGAGCAAATAAAATGATTATATGTAAAATCTGCAGCCTAGTTCCTCAGATAGTGATAGTTATTATTGCTTGTTTAAAGTAGTAAGAGCTTTGAATAGGGAATAATAAATGTAAAGAAAAAGGAAGAAATTTTTCCAGAGGAAATACTGGCTAATTTGGTGATTGCCAATGGGTGCTCTGGAGAGTGAATATTATGGGCTGAATGTTTGTGTTCCTCCCCAAATTTATATACGGAAGTCCTAACTCCCAATATAATGGTATTTGGAGGTGAGGTCTTTCGAGGTAACTGGGTTTAGATTTGCTCATCAGAGTGGGACTCCGCACATGCACACACAAAAAGAGGTCAGTGAGCACACAGTAGAATGGCTGCTGTCTGCTAGCCCAGAAGAGGGTCCTCACCAAGAACCAAGTCTGCGGGCACCTTGATCTTAGA